TGTTCACAAAGATATTTGTGAGCGATATAACAATTAAAATATATTAGCATTCCAAAAAAATTGGAAAACTCCTTCGATTTAAAAACAAAGATTATCAGACGAATTTTGCTTGCTAAGAACTTTTTAATCTTGGCCTACTTTAGGCATACAATAAATTAGCCAGACAACTACAGCACAGGGCATTTCTCGTATGTCAGGAATCTTAAAACCGACATTCTAGAGCCCAATCCCATTCAAACGAATATTAAGTTATATGAAAAGAAGTTTTTTAATTATTCCAGAAAAGGTATTTTTATTTATTTGAATGAAGATATACGTTTTATTTTTCATTTGTTCTATATAACCTGCTTTTTACGTTCGCCATTGTTTTTTCCTCTTTCTGTTTCTTATACCATTTATTTTCATTTGATTTTTTTTTAGACGCCTCTTTTGTTGGGTGCCTTAGAAAAGTTATTGGATATATGTATGTTGTGTATATAATCGTACATTTATATTTCATTCGTTACTGTTTTACATATTTCCATTATTTATTCGTGGTTGATGTGTTTGGTTTTTATTATTTAAATATTGCATTGTAGTACTGCTGATATTTTAGTTTCGATTTCGATTTAGGTTTTCGGGAATTTCTTCATTAATTTGGGGATTGTTGCATATGTTTCTAGTAGGTATGTATGTACTTTATATGTATATTTTGGTTTAATTTATCATGGGGTCTCTCTATTTATATTACGTTGGTATTGTAAATACCATCTCCTATTTTAATACATATTGTGTTTGGTTTTTTGTTTTGAACATTTTTAACTGTATCTGTCAAGAACGCATTTCAACGTTTTGGAGGAAAAATATGATTGGAAATCGAGAATTCATTAGTTTGGTTTTTTGGTTTTAGAAAACTACAAATATTTTTTTTTATTTTTTTTTTAATTTTTTTGTCAACTTTAATTTTGTAAAAAATAAAAAAGTACGTTTATTGAAAATGACTATAAAATATGGAATATTTCACTAAATTTGCATACGTTTCATATATTTATATATATTTATATATATATAAAATTATTTGGTTTACTATATCGGTTTCATACACGCCAACCTGGTTTAGATTTTTTTTGCTATTTATATTTATACTTTTGGTATTCGTTTCTGTTTATCAATTGTATAATTCTAAAAAATTATATGCTTCTGCTTGTTTTTCTGAATATTTAGCTAAAAGGAATTCATTTAGTAAGAGCGCCCAATTTTAGTTACATTGAAGGACTAAATCTTATATGCGAGTACACGCACAAAATTAAAATGGAAGAGCGGATGCAATCGACACTCGCTTCACAGGCTACATTTTCTCAATCAGATTTATTTAATATTATAAAATTCTTTAATAAGTTTAAAAAGGTACCAAATTGTTATAACCTTGTATTTCGTTTTCTTGCTTTCTTTCTATCGATCGAAGCATGTTCCAATTAGCAGTGAATTGAAAATTAATTGGTTTTGCTGAAATGGGGTGTTTCAGTTTAAAAAATTTTCTATTTAAAACATCGCGTTTGATTTTGTCTTTACGTTTTACATATCTTTTGACTAGCTACAAACGAAAAAACTGTACATAAATTGTGCTATGAAAATACTCAAAAAATAATATTCTATATTCAATAACAAATCATAATAGCTACGGGATTTTTCTAAATCTTTATCTATCATTAGTATTATTATTTTTATTTTTACTTTCTTTTCTCTATTTCTAATGCCAATTTGAGGTTTTGCATATAGAAATGTGAAGGGAACAAAATGCGGCTCAGAAATGCATAATAGTGCACTAAGCAGAATTGCAATTTTAATATTTAAATTGTTATAGTATAATTTGTTGTTTGGTATTATTATTATTATTATTATATTTATAGCAATTACTTGAAGCAAATATTCAAGTTGTTTGTCTTCAAAAATACATACACATTACGTTTTATAAATTTCATCAATTGTACTACGTGTAAATTTCATATATTTGGTTTGTTTTGGTTTGTTTTCTTTTGGTTTTTTGTTCATATTTTGGTATCAAAAACACATATTGACCAATTTTAGTAAACATATTAAATATTTAATAATAAGTTCAAGTTCCAATACTTTTTTGTAGAGTCTTTTGTATCGTTTAAGTATTTAGTTATATGTATGTATGTATGTATGTAACTAAGAGTTATTGTAAGTATTTAATGTATTTACAATACTTTTTATAGATACATTATAAAATGTCCATTACGGTCATATATCAAAAAATAATAAAACACAATTTACTTGATGTCCATTTATTACGTAATAGCAAAAGGTCTTGTATAAATTGCATATATCAAATATTTCATTTTTATATTTTATTCATATCGAAAAAATAAAACAAGGTATAAAAGTGTATCAACGCAATCGGTTAAAGCTACAAGCAACTACAAACTACAAAACATATAAAAATATATATAGTATTTAAGAACTATGCATACAAAATATAACACTAGATTCGTATAAAATGTTTTCCAAATCAATATAACAAATAAACACTGACTATATGTATGTATGTATGTGTTGAATACGTACGTACAATGTGTATAACAAAATTTGTATAAAACTAAAAACAATAGATAGTCTTCGTGGCTGCTTTCGAAAGGGCTTATAAAAAGATTTTTATAAACGCAAATGTCTTTGACTCATTCTTTTCTTCTTCTTTTGACTTTCCTTTGCCTTTTTCGTTTGGAATACTTAAATAACAAACAAGTGATGCTTAAATTAATTATAGCACGCTACACAAGATTCCAGTTTTTGCAAAAACATTGAGCGTTTGCTTATATTGTTTAAGAGTTTACAATTCTTTTTTTTTTAAATTTTTTAGTAGTATTTGTAAAATATTTCCGTTTAATAGTTTTGTCATACAACTTTAAGCATATTTAAATATTTTTTATGTTTTTAGTAAAGTTTTTTTTTGTGATTTTGTAGATTTTTTTTTGTTAACAGTTAAAGTATAAAGTATATGTTTATATAAAAGTATAAAAATCTATAAAATATTGAATTTCACTACATTTAAAAAACATCATCATTACACATTGTTATCGCTATTTGCATCGGAATTTACGAGCCGCTTTTTACACATTTAGATGCCTTTTTCATTAAAGACTAGCATTTCATTACATTCATCATATAGCACAAAATTAGCAACGCCTGTATGCACAATTTGTTTAAAATATTTGCATAAAACATTTACACTACAAAGAGTAGGCTGCAGATTACAATTTGTTTGAGTAGATTCATTTTTGGTATCAATTAAACAATTATATTTTGCTAACAATTTTTAAAACAAACGAACGCTCTGAGTTCTCTAATTTTTACTTATGCAGTTTCAAAAATATATATATAGGACATATGTATGTTTTGTTTTCATAAATGTATGTATATCGAATTACATATGCCATTCATATATGCAGTTTATCCGTCATGTTAATAATATAAAAATTCTAGAAAATTGCTATTAATTGTTGTAATGTTTTTTTTTTGTGTTTTTTTTTTTTTTTGTTTCCTTTATGAAAGTGCCTCTCGATCGATCAACTTAATTTAGAAATTGTGACTTTGAATTTTATTATAAGGTTTCAATTTGGTATTTGTTTCTTTTTTCGTCATTTATGTAAACAAAGCGCGAGCAAAAATTTGCTAATAGATTTGACTATCGTTATAATTTACATACATTTAAAAGTCCAAAGTGACTTGTACTTGCATATTTGTTTGTTGTAATTTTTAATAATTTGTAGTATTTTTGTAGAATAGAAAAAATATCGTATTTTGGTTTCGCTCAAGTGCCTTTAAACATGCATCTTTATGTAGCAAAGTTTTCGTATATAAATTGGAAAATAAAAGTTTTTTTTTTAATCGTTTGTAAGTTTTTGTTTTAAAGTCTACATATATATATTTAAAATGTTTTTTACTATGTTCATTTTGTTGAGAATCGAGTTTTATATATATATATATTATACTGTTTTACAATTGTAAAACGTTTTATTCTTTATTTTGTTAACCAATAAGCTGGAACGAAATACTCAGTTTATTTTTACAGTCAACAGATATATTGCCGATATTTCGCTCTTAGCCTTCAAACTGGAACAATCTGTAGAAGTACATTTTAGTTTTGTCGGGTCTTTTTTGAATTTGTTCCTTGTGTTATTTTGGTATTTGTTAAGCTAATTTTGGTTATGCGTTTGCAATTTTAGTAATATTACATATGTATATATAAGTATGTATAACGCAATTAACGTATAGTTATGTATATATATATGTATATACATATATATATTAAATTTTTTACGAATTAGTATTGCACAAAAGTATGTATTCAGATTTCGGTTTATATGTATTTGTGGTTCCTATTAATTTGCATTTTGGTTTCATTTATTTTTTTTTATCGACTAAAAAACAGTTTATACAAAAATTGCTATATAAAAAGTCGTCTAATATAAGTATGTAAGTAAGTATTTATATATATATATATATATATATTTCATGCATACATTTATATATATAATTATATATATATAATATGTATAAAAAACTGTTACACATGCTTAAATATTTTTTATGATGTTTTTTCGCTATATTTTCGTATTTTTTTATAGTTTGCAACACGCCCAGCAAATTGAAATTTGCCACAAATAAATAACTAAGGCAAACAGTGTGACATAAAAGTATAAGTTAATTACAAAAATAATAAAAATTAACAAAAAATGTAATACTGAACACAAGTTATTTAACTTTTTGCATAGTTAACAATTATTTTATTTGTCCTTTCCATCAGTGTTAACAATATTATTTGTGTATGAGTGCAGCTTGTCAATATGAGTGTGTGTGTGTGTGTGTGTGTAGGCGAGTGTATGGGAATTTTTTATTTATTTTTTTTTTAGAAATAGTGTGTGACTAGGCTCAAACTAAAATTGAGCAAACATAAGCGCTTGCAGAATATTGATCTACTTTAATAATATTATAATTCATTTGGTTTCACTTCTTAACGATTCTCGAATCGGTTATCGTCAGAATGTGAACCTACGAGGCATATAAAAATCGTAGTGTACAAATTGTCTGTGTGTGTGTCTTCAAATGCATTTGTTTCTATCAGTGAACTTAAGTTCTGCAAATTAATTTCACAATTTATAGCCGATTTGTTTATTCTATGTTGCGTTTGTGTTCTACGTGTGTGACGTGTTATTATGTCTACTCGTACGATTTTCACATGCAACGTAATCACGGTGGCAGGTATAGAACAATACCAACTAATTAAAATCGTATATATATATATATATATATATATATATAGTGAAAACGTGAAGAGATATATACGATTTGTCATAGCTTAGTGTTAGCGAAAATTACTTAATCATTCGGTGTTGGGATGTAAACTCTGATTTGAATGGCACACGTGTTGTTAACGTGGGGTTAAAAATACTGCTAAACTAACATACATATATATGATGTATGTATGTCTATTATTGTGTGTGTGCTGCTGGTATGTGATGTATGTGTGTGTGTGTGTGACAACAAAATGCAACAAGTATTGTTATTCAATGTCCAAGTTAAAAAAAAAGTGTGTCCGGAAAAAAACGTTTCTTATTTTCGTTTTTTTTTTTTGATCTCTCATTTAAAACGTGTGGGAGTGAATTAAATTATAAATATTGCTTAGTTATTGTTCTCTCATTTAAAACGTGCAAATTATAATTATTGTAAATTTATTCCTATTCATTTGCGATTTTGTCGGGCATTTTCGAAAACTAAAATATCTAATTCACATAAATTTAAATTAGATTTGGTTTAGATGCGTCGTCTTGAATCGTCAAAGATTCTAAAAGGTAGGAACTTATGGGTTGCGATTTTGGTTGCTTTGCTGACAAAAAATATCGAGCTCATTTGTAATTTTAGACTAGTGGTTTTGGTTGGCTTAGTCGAATTAAGATATGGTTTCCCTGGTGTATACATTTTACTAGGTTGCTGTCTATGAATTTTGTGATGTTAACTCATTTTGAATATGATTTTTTTGTCGTGTTGGTCTTAGCGAGTTAAATGGCATTATTTGTTTGTTACACCTTCCTTATTGTTTTCATATACATTTGTATAAAAATTATAAAAAAAAATAAAGTACAAAAAATACTGTGCATACGCTTTCCCTAAAGGAAAATTAATCAGATTCCAAAAAAATTTGTTTTTTTTTTTGTTTTAAATAAATTTAAACTTAAGCCTACATTCATTTGCTGTTTCTCCAGGGCGAGTGTTACATGAAATCGTTGCCGATCTCTTCGCATAGACTCTATAAGCTGTTTGTGCCCAGGGGACACATATTGCACCTTGTTGTGGATAACACTATTCTCTCTACGGTCTCGTCGTGACTCGTGTGTGTGTCGGTCTGTGTGTGTTGTCAGTGGCTGATTGAGTGAGTGTGTGTATCCATGCGTCTGTATGCTTGTCTTATATAACTAAATTACAACATTCCCCAGTTACATTCCTCACATTCAACATTCAACCTGCATCATCATCATCGACGCCACGCTCATATTGCTGCTGCTGTTGCAACATCATTTGCACCGGATTAGCCCCTTGCTGCTGTTGATTATCTGGTTGCTGCTGCTGCTGCTCCAATCGGTCAAGTCGATTCTCGTCGATCCCTGTTGTTTCGTCGTCTCGTATCGTATTTGTAGTAGTATTTTGCTTAGGCACTGCCAGCGCTGCGTTCAACAAACGATGTCGCTCGTCTCGTTGTTGGCGTCTCTCATCGTGCAGCGCGGCCTACCAGCGCCGCCGTTAACACCATCGAAAGGGCACCGCACGTGGCCGGTCGGCGCCCTCCTTGACTAGGGGCTTGTGATACTCACGTCCAGTTCGGGAGTGTATTACCGCCCAGCAGTGCTCGCAATAATATTGCAGACAGGTCACATTGGCGCAGAAGAAGGGCGCGAACTTGCCACCGCAACGCACGCCCTCGCACTCATCGCACATCTGATCGTCGAGGACATAGGGTTTGACCTCCACCCGCTTATCGATGTCACCGTGCTGCAGCTGGACGAAACGCGCCGAAATCGCGGCAATGTAGCTTTGTTGATTGGAGAAGGCGACACGGCCGGCACCCTTGGGATACTTGAGCTCGGGATCGGTATCGATGCCCGCATAACAGACGCCGCCATACAAACGATCCATGATCATGGCCAGCTCGAAGGCTTTCAGGGGACGCGGCACACCACCGACAAAGACGGTTTTGCGTGGATCTAGTGTCATGGTTGCATCCAGCACATAATCCGCATCGGCCAGGCGCCAGGGTCGTATTTGCACGGCCTTATCCTTGATGGTTGGCGAGGAGACGCACAGATATAGCTTATCCTCATCGGCTATGCAAGAGTCGATCAGCTGCTGCACACTGCTCTCGTCCTGGAACAACAGAAACGCATACCCCTTGGGCGGAAAATATGACTTGGATTCAGCTTTGTGAGGCCAGTCGACAACCAGTGGTCCAAAGCGACGAAACGACGTTGTTATCTCATCCTCATCAATGTCGGGTGGCAGGCCGCCAACAAATACCTTTCGTGAGAAGCGAGCGGTGCTATCGCCAGCATTGCCTCCATTGCCACCACCACCACCGACACCGACTCCACCCTGGATGGGGGAGTGTGGCGAATGCGGCGACAGACGCGACGGCGAACCCATCTTCAGGGCATTCAAGTAAACAGTTGGATCATTTCCCGCGGCAATGGCCATGGCATCGGCCTCACTCAGATGCTTCTGGCCGCCGCCAACCATGCCGCGCATGCGCTCGTTCATCATGTTGCCCATATTGTCGCCACCGCCGCCGGCGGCGTTGCCCAGCGACATGCCACGCATATAATCACTGAGGGTGTTCTCCATGCCACCGCCACCATGATGCAGTTGTCCATTGGCGGTCATCATGTTGCCATAGTTGTTGCCCAAATAGGGCGCATCGCCGCCGCCACTAGCGCCAGCAGTGCCCATGCCACCGACTCCACTTCCATTGCCAATCGACAGCGTTGGTATGTTCATGGGATTGGGAGGTCCACCACCATGCTGGGATCCACCACCCACCATGCCGCCATCCATGTGGCCATACAGTGTCGTTGGTGAGCTGCCCTTGATGGGGAACGATATGCTGCGTCTATATTTGGGCGATACCCCCGGCATGGACATTTGTGGTATGGGCGAGATGCCGCCGCTGCTGCAACCCGCCTGTGAGCCATTATATGGAGATCCACCACCACCATTGCCACCACCACCTGGCGACGATGGACTGTGTGCTCCACCTCCTCCATCCAACTGCTGCTGTTGAAGTTGCTGCTGCTGCTGATGATGATGATGCAGTGCGCTCAAATTTGGCGACAACTGTTGTTGCTGCTGTTGCAGTTGTGGCGGCGGCTTGTTGAGATTGAGATTTGGTGGCAGGCCGCTGCAGCTGCAGAGGGAGAGGAGTAACGAGAGAGATGAAGAGGCTTTTTTTACAATTTTGGAATTTGATTTGGCATTACTTTTATTATTATTAAATTGTATACTTTATATAAGAAGGAGCAATTTGTTCAAAGATTTGCTTCAAATTATTGTTGTTTTTGGACATATTTTTTTGGGGGTAAATAGATAATGAAATTAGTTTTTGTGTATGCTTTTCAAGGTAATCTTATATAACAACATTGCCGCCCAGCGTTGAAAAAGAACGAACTAATGGAAATTGTAATGGAATATATATATATATATATATATATATATATATATATATATATATATATGTATATATATAGTAGTATATATAATAATTAATATTTGTTACACTGGGCGTTGAGCTGTCTTTAAAGCAAATAGTAAATGTATCGTAGAAGTTTTTTTTTCGCATTTAAATCGAATTTTCTCTGCACACGTAAATCATTAAAAACTTTTCCAACTAACGAGAAAATCCCTATAAGAATAAAACTTGAAGCAAATAAAAACAAAACATTTTTCAATAAATTGCTCCTTGCTCTTAACTGATTTTGTTTTATAACGTTGCTTTGATTGACGATTTTTTGTTGCTGTTGTTGCTGCATTATCGATGTTGTTGTTTTGTTGGTGGTGGTTGTTGTTGGTGGATTTGGTGGTTTGTTGGTGGTTTTTGTGGTGTAGGGATACTTTTGTTGTGGTTGGTAATAATGTTGTTGTTGTTTCTGTTGCGGCTGTGGTGAATGGTGTGGGTGGTTTTTTTTTATTTTATATTTTTTATTTGAGGTGGTGCTAGTGGTTGGTTGGTTTGGTTTCGTAATACATTGCGACATCCAATCAAATAAAGTATGAGCGGTTAGAGATGCGCTGGCTGGTTTTGTTGTCGACAGTTTTGGCAGCACTGTTTCAGGTTAGTTTTAAATGCACTGTGCACGGTGGTGAAATTGAAGATACTCTTGTTTTTAGTCTTATATTTTTATTAACAAAATTCCAAGCACTTGACACTGCGCGGTTATTTTTAATTATATATATATATATATTGTTTTTTTTTTTGTCGTTACATAGAATAATACTTTAGGCTGCGATAACGATAACGATAAACGAAACACACATACATGTGTACAACAGCAATTGGTTAAACTTTTAATCGTTTTGATAGCTTCTAAAAAAAAAGACTCGACACTCTGTGTGCTGCAAAGATAGCAACGGCCCAGAATAACAAAGAATATTTGTCATACTTTTCGACAAAAAGATTGTCGAAAATATAAATAACAAAAAGGAACAAGAAACACGCACAACGGGTGGGCGGCAATGGGTTAAATGTAGTATTATTGGTGGTGTTAAGGCTAATGCTAATGGATATTGAAACTAGTTCAAATGTTGTATCATTCAATTGTTTCGATTGTCTTGTTGTTGTTGTTGTTTTTGTTGTTTTTGTTGTTGCCATAGCTGCTGCTGCTAGAAGCTCGCACAGCTATGCTAATTGATTGACAAATTCCATACAGTAACTGTCAAACTGTAAGGCCAGACATCAAATTGCATGGAAAAATTTGTAATTTAAAAAGTTGACGTCGTTTGCCAAAGGCTGGATGATGATGGGTAAATGAGGTGGTTGTTGGTTGCATGGTGCCCCTGTGGGAGGCACACGCTGCTGATGGTTAATGAGGATGCCGCTGATGTTGATGTTGTCTGCAGCAGCAGCAGCAGCAGCAGATGATGATGATGCTGATAATGATGAAATGTATATGTCATGTAGAAACGTGTACAAGTGTAAATAGATAACAAAAAGAAAAAAACAGCAAGGCAAGGCGAGACAAGGCATGGGTGGTTTAGAGGTGGGTCGGTAGGTGGGTAACCGATGCTGGTGGTGGTTGGTAGTTACTTTTGGTGGCGTGTGTCTGCCTGTGATAAGCATTTGCAGGTGTCGCACGCGCCCGACAGTGTTACAAAATGTAATTAAAAAAATGCAATTAGCAGCAAGTGAAAAAGTTAGTTTGAAAAAAAAAATATACAAACGGAAATTGAAACGGCATGGCTGAAAAACAGGCAGATTTGAATCGGAAAAAATATTTGATTGGCAGGAAAATCGAAAAGCTGACAGTTGACAAATAAGGCTTAAAACGTACACGTACGAAAATCAATAAAAATGAGCTTAAAGCGAACAAGTTAAGCGCCTAGACATGCATTTCAATAATTTAAATGTAACGTCAGAAGCCGAGTCACCGTACCAAACACTCTCCGTGTGTTTGTGTTGTGTGTGAGTGGTGTACGTCATTTTTGCCCACACAAACACAACATATACAAAACGACCAAGGCCCAGACGTCGGGGGCCTGAGTACTTAAACAGAAAGTTCTAGACGTACTTTACACACAACACTGTATATACATTTCGAGTGCATTATGCATATATATATGCATCATACACAGAAGGCAGAGTTTTGTTGCATACATGCGACATAATAAACAAAGCACAGTTGCTGCTGTAGTGCACTTTTGTACAGCAAGTGCTGCAACACGAACAGAGGGTGGTGCAGCCGTGTGGTGGGTGCTACAAACGGACAGACGCTTAAAGCCAGTTTCTTTTTTTCGGTATTAAAAATTCACAAGTACTGTAAATAAAAAACCACAAAATCAAAGTCACAAAACTTCAGCAGTTATTTACTTAATATTTGATATTTACTTCGGTCAATGAACTTGCTCCACAAAAAAAAAAAAGAACATGCAACAGGCAGTCGCTCTTTCAACACTGTCGCCATAATTGGATAAACACAAAAAAGCAACGTGAAGCTGGCTGCGCGTCAGCAATGCGTGCACAATGTGCGTGCAAATTTAGAGATGCAGCAAAGTGGCGATTAGCACGCAGGCATAAAATGCAGCACGATAACTGCGCTAAAAATTCAAGAGCAAATATTCGCATTTAACTGCATTTAAAAGTAGCTGATTAGAAATGTTAAATACTCAATTTCAGCCAACTTGATGGCGTTCGATTAGCACAAGGCTCAGATACGCTCAGGTGCAACCAACTTAACAGAGTGCGATCAGTATTAAGGCGCAGCCAACTTAATGATGCTCGATCAGTATTAAGCTCAGGCATGTCCAGGCGCAGCCAACTTAATGATGTTCGATCAGTATTAAGCTCAGGCATGTCCAGGCGCAGCCAACTTAATGTGTTCGTCGTTTAGCTCAGGATGTCCAGATTAATGTGTTCGATCAGTATTAAGCTCAGGCATGTCCAGGCGCAGCCAACTTAATGATGTTCGATCAGTATTAAGCTCAGGCATGTCCAGGCGCAGCCAACTTAATGATGTTCGATCAGTATTAAGCTCAGGCATGTCCAGACGCAACCATCTTAATGATGTTCGATGAGCAGTAGGGCACCGCCATAGTGATCAAGCACAGTCAGCATAAAGACAAACTTCCAATCCGCGAAATTCAATGAGGCATCACAAAAATAAACACAAAGCAGCAAAAATATCAACAGCTGCTTAATTCTTGCAAAACAAAACCAAAAATTACAGCGTAAACAGAGGAAATTCTTCATGTATGTAATATGTGTGATTGTATGTGTGTTAGTTCAATTTGGCAAATATGCAAATTTGCATTTAGCAACAACAACAACAACAATATGTGTGTTGTGTGTATGTGTGTACAAAAGGGGCGACTTTCAAATAGATTGTAAATTCTATTCGTTAGGGGGACTGACTGACTGTGTATGTGAAGACGTACAGATTTTCAAATAGAGACTCACCTTTTGCGATTGAAGAAGCCTCCGCTGCCGCCTCCTCCTCCTCCACCCTGCAGAAAGTTGTTGCGCAGATTAACCTCCTCGTTCTGCGTTCAAGCAATATTGATAGAAAGACAGAGATAGGTAGAAAGTGTGTGAGAGAGAGAAAAGGTTAGAAGAACATGTTACAGCAATGAGTAATAGGGCCAAGTGGTTTTGCAATCAAATATCAGCAGCAGGCAGCAGCACATCTGTCGCAAATTTTTTGGCAAACTTTGCGTACATAAAAATAGATGCTCAAAAATTCAACAGAATTGTTTGACACTAACGCGCATTGGCACAAAAATAAAACAACAAACAGCTGACTGCTGGCTGCTGCCGACTGTGAGATAACGAAAAGAAAACAACAATAAATTACGCTAAAAAGTGAAAACTATACAGTGATCAACAAAATTAACGCAACATGCTGCAAATCATTCGTCCAAATGTGTCACTAATTTCAGCAACTAAATGCTAATTGCCCATTTCCTCTTACACATCATTATGTGATTAGCGCGACTTGTGAATTAATCAGCTAACTAAACAAATACCAAGGAATGATATTTAAACACGAATCGTGGGGTTTTCAAATTTCAATGCAGTACGAATCTACAGATCAAACTATGATCAAATAGCCCTTGTCGATTCAAAAGTATCAATCTAAAGCTCAGAGAGCGTTGGTTTTTCAAAATCTGATCACTTTTCACACAGTTATGGCTTTGGGAAGTTTTAACCCCTTCAAAATTATGAAAGATTCGGAAAAATTATGTTCACCATAGAGCCTAATGAATAAATTATTATTACTATAACAACAAAAGATGTCGAAAAGGGTCTCGGAATTAAAATCGATTAAAAACGAATAAAGAGCTAAAGCTAAAAAAGCTTGGCAGCAAAAAAAATATTCAAAATTCAAAATTCATTGCGTGGGTTAACAAATTGCTGGGTATTTACATAAAATAACAAGATACTTACACCAAAAAGCGACGCCTGCTGTTGCTGTTGAAGATGTTGCTGCTGTTGCTGGTGTTGCTGCTGCTGTTGCTGTGACGGACTGCTGGAGAGGGAGTGGGTGTCACAGGCATTGACCATCATGCCCAAGGCGGCACCCACGCTGCCATTGTTCTTCATGCCCAACATTGTGGGCGAGGCATCACCGCCGCCCCCGCCTCCGCCACTGGGACTGTGGCTGTGGCTGTGCTGTGTGTTTTGATGGAACGATTGCAGGATGTCATCCAGCGACTCCTCGTTGGCATTGAAACGCACCGAGATTGGTGTACTGCTGCTCAAGCCGGGCGGCGTTTTAATGGTGTTTGTTGTAGAGACAGAAGCAACAGTAGGCGGCACAGAAGACGATGTGGGTGATGTTGCCAGGCTGCCAACAACGGATGTGGCCGCCGATCCAGATAGATTGCTATTGCTGCCGCTGGCACTGCTATTAGCGCTGCCGCCTGTAAATTAAACCGTGTTACGGGAAAGAGAAAATTGTTTTTAGTTCTATTTACCCCACACAAATTAACAACCCTTCTCCACTGCTTACCTTTTGGTAATTTAAGCGAGTCCATTTTGGTGCCCGCACCGAAGAATATGGATATATATAAAATTTATACGGCTGCACTTGATGAGCTGCGTCGACGACGGCGGGCGTTGATTTGCCTTAGCCTACATTCAAATGTCGGCCACAAAATGTATCCAAAAAAAACATCAATCAAGCAAACGACGGACGACGACGGCACATGAAAGTAAAATGTGGTAAAGGAGAAGCAGAAGGAAGAAAGCAAAAAGAAAATAGGCAGATAGTTAGAAACACGTCATGCGATTAGTTGATCATATTTTTCTGTGCACCCCAATCTCTATCTCTCTCTCTCTCTCTCTCTCTCTTTCTCTCTCTGTTACGTTCACTGTTTCTATTCGGAAAACGTCAACGTTGTCAAATGTTTCCGCACGTAATTGCGTTTAAAAATAAATAAAGCACACGGCAAACAGCAGAAGCAGCAGCAACAAAAACAATTAGTTTAACAACAACGACAACAACCATTTGACATTCATTATTTTTACCCTATTGAAAAAGACTTTAATACTTTGTTCTCTTTGCTGTTTGATCTTGTGTCTTACGAGCTATATATATATATATGTATATGTATATATATATGCAATATATGAAATCATATTGTGCAGCACAATTAAGGGGAATTTCACATTAAACGCTTATGAAGTCATAAAACTGATTTGTTTCGGGGAATTACATGAAATGTGCTCTTTTTTGCTGCTGATAGTGGCCATATAAATCATACGCAATGTATTCGATGTGAAATTTTCAGATAATACACATTTACTGTGTATCATAGCAAGCCACGATAAAATGAAGAATTCAGATTCGAAACGTAATTCATTTAGGTTAACGATAATCTAATAATTATTTTTTATTAAGGGTCGCTTATATAAAGTATACAAAATGTATTTCGCCCAAAATATTATTGACATTTTCACATATATGAAAGAAAAACATTGCGACACCCATTAGCTGGCCATCTTAATGCCCTCGCTAATTGCATTTCAATGTGACGGACTTTTATATCCGCACAACAACATTTACTATCAGTGCACGTTTTATCAACGCCCAAAGCCAAACAAGCAAATGGTTCGATAAATGTGCCCATTAAATGTGCCGTGCTTGTTTTTTTTGTTTTGTTTTCTTGTTGTTTTGTTTGGTCGCGCACAATAATAGCAATGGCAACAACGGCAACATCAACAACAACAGCGAGTAATCAATCTACCGCTGGCAAAGATAAAAAACAAAGTAGCGTCGGGTATAACGATGAGTAATAAAGATAAAAATATGCTTGCAAATATAGAATAGAACTTTGCAGTTTTATTTATTTATTTTTTTTCCTTTTAAACCCCAGGCTGGCCGCCAAGGCGAAAACAGAGATGCTCATATTACCCCATTTACCATACGGTATATCCAATCTTCTCTTGTAGCACAATGCAAGCACTTCACTCTGAAATTGGAACTGTCACCGGAAAGCGAGCATTGTTGTAGAACACAGGGGTGGAAGGGGGAAGGCAGTGGGCCGTTTAATTAGTTAAATGCATAGAGAGACAACCCGACAACAAAATTGTTACGCCAATGAAAATGTGCGCTGAGGCATAGAGAGCCAGAGAACTAGAGAGCTGACCGCAGACGACTTCCCTCACAACGGGGTGTGTGTGTGTAGAATATACTCTATTAATATAGAAATAAATGCCTGATAAGTGAACTAAGGAGACAACATTTATTACAGAGGCCAAGTAATCGAGACAAGCTCAATTACAATTATATCTGAACTGCTAACAGAAATCGTTTAAGCATTAGAATGTGATATTGCAACCAATAATCCTTATGAAAGCTATGCTGCGAATAAGAAACACTGGGTAATAATCCAAACTATGTCATTTAATATGTAAAATAAATTAAATTTTGAAAATTGTTTGCATTTATTTATTACAGCATTATTAATCTTGTTTATATTAACCCTCACAAATTTATCAATCTATTAACATTAAAATTTATGTTTATAGCTTATTTATCATTTACAAGCTTTGCCAAACTGCGAGACGATACCATTTCATGGAGAAAGGGTATGCGAGGCATAATCAATACACAAATTTGTCCTACAAACGACAGAAGAGCGACCCCCAAAAACAAAATAAGTAACTTGAATTACAAGCAACGACGACGCAGCGCAGCTGAGACTCGGGCAGTGGAAGTGGCAGAGGCAGAGGCAGATGCCGAGGCAATAACAATGACAGTAACGCCCCCCCTTCTAGCACACATACACACACTCGCACACACACAGTTCGAGTAAAATAAACAAGTATATTGTACCGCCAAAAGCATAGACAGCTTGGCTCAGGCTCAGCATCGAACATCCAACAGCCAACATTCAAATGCTGCTCGAGAGCACAAAAGTTGCGCGATATGATTTCTGGGAGAGCGAACGGCTGCGCTGACAATGCATGATATATATGTATATTGATATATATATATATGTACACGTGTGTGGGTGTGTGTGCAAACAAACGAATATATCTGCGTGAAGGTAAGTAACTATGTACTTGGAAATTAAATGTGCTTTCCTTTTGTTTTTGTTGGTCGGGAAGAAGAATTTTGCTTGTATTGTTGTATTATCAAACACACACAGTAGAAGTCTGCAATTAGATTTAGTAACTGGGCCAAATTGGCGAGCGATTTTCTCTACTCTTTTTTTTTGCGCTGGGACAGAGATTTTTTAGGGGTTATTACGGTCTTTGCTTTGCTCAACTGTTTCGTTCGTCGTTGCCCCAATTTCAATTGGTTACGCACAACAGCAAAAAAAAAAAAAAATACATATAATGGAATGGAAAAGGCAACCCTGTTTTGGGGGGTTGCTGTACGGGAAATTAGGCCAACACGCTGCGCACACAGATATTTAAAAATCAAGTGACATTTTGACAGGTGCAAAAACAAACAAAAAAAAAACACCAAAATTGTCTTTTGTTTTTCCTTTTTTGCTTGTTCTATTTGATTAGCCAAATAGCGCTAATAACACTAACCTTTTGTACTTTGAGTATTTTGCTTTGGCCACTCGGCAGATTTGTTGCAACGACGCACGAGCAAAGAACACACGAAGGCACAGGCCACGAACCACGAACGACGACGACGACAAAACTTTCAGGTGCAAGTTTTTCTCGTGAGCGTGTGTCTCTGTGTGTGTGTGAGTGTGTGCGTGTGTGTGTGAGTGCGTTACATTTCCGGGGGTGCAGGCAATCAGGCCGTCTCACTCACACTCTCTCGCACTATATTCTGTGACGTATATGGCACTGTGTATATTTTCCTCCTATTTTCTTCTTTTTTTTTGTTTTCTGCAAAGCGAAAATTCCTTCGCTGCGGCAGCGAATTTTTTCTTCTCTTCCTTTATATAAAATGTTGCAGATTTTGTATATATATTTTTTTTTCTTTTAACGGATTACAAAAGTTGAATCGGAGATTGTGAATTGTTCATCTATGTAAATTGTTTCACTTTATTGCACACATTGCGAAATATTGGATAAACTTAACACACACACACGACGACAACGACAACGAAGACGACTCCAGAGACGATTTTGTTTCACAAAAAAATTTAAATTGCACTATTAATTTTGGGCTTAAGGAAAAAACATAGAATGTTTACACTAGAATTTTAAAATTGAATCTTATGTCGGATTTTCGACGTCCGCTCACCAGCGCGACGAATGCGAGACTGAGAACTTAAACTTTACGACTGCTGCCAGCTTTTCCATCAAGCTTGTTTTGTCGTCGTCGACGTCGCCTACTTTTCCGACCAAAAAAAATCAATCATTTTCGGTTGTTTTGCTTTCATACGGTGTTTCGTGCAACAGAAACGACAGCTGCTCGGTCTTGCAGCGTTGCCAATTTGTATGCCGATATATCGATATTTTAGTAGTAACAAACATTTTTGATTACATCAATTATAAATTGCTGTTTTTCTTATATATTACATATATTGCACTATATATAATTGATGTTACATTTTCAAGACTATCTGGCAACCCCGTTGGGGCTCACATAGATGAGAATACAAGAGAATTACATAAAACAGCATTTTACTTACAATAACAACGCCAAAGTTCCTTCTCCTTTTCCCCTTCCCTTATGTTATTTCTGGTTATACAGTAATAATTGCTGCACAAAAATCAGCTGCGTCTTGACGAAGAATGTGATGAATATATTTTTATGAAAAACTCACGCGCGCGATAAATAGTTGTTTTGGTGTGTAACTTATGTACAAAGTATATATGTATGCACCCCGCTATATGTGTTGGGTTTTCTTATTTTTTTGTTTTTTTGTTGTTTTTGTTTTCACTAAACTATAAACATTTTTATTTATTTTTTATTGTTTTTGTGTTGACTTTTATGTAAATGTTTTCTAGACAACTACGATTGCTGCTGAGAGAAGCAGTCGATCTGCAAACTTAACATTCTCGTAGCAAGCTTTTAACAGCTGTTTCGCAGCTAATGCGACCTTTTCCAAACGATCTGGCATCGTGCTCATTTAAATACATATTCAAAACATCGATATTTATTTAAAAACAAATACAAATTAATTGTGATGCATAATAATGAGTGAGTGTGTGTTTAAAATGATATGCTCAACGATCAAGGTTGAAAGCGCAATAATTCAATACTATGGGAAAATACCAATTAATTCAAATTTAATACAAACAAACAAAGAAAAAAAAACCGGTTTTTTGATAAGCATGTCTGATTTTTTTACGATTCTGATTCCCATGCTCGGCTTTGTGCGCATTTAAGATTCTCTGCTTCGACATGAAGCACGCTGTACGCTTGTTATTTGTCTGTGGCTATTTGCTGGCTCTGGCAATGGGCTATACGGTGCCCGAGCCGAGATTTGATGTGTTTTATCCGAAGGGATTTCAGGTATCCATGCCGCATGAGGAAGGAATCACATTGTTCGCCTTCCATGGCAAGCTGAACGAGGAGATGGAGGGCTTAGAGGGTGGCACCTGGTCACGTGATATTGTCAAGGCGAAGAACGGACGTTGGACCTTCCGAGATCGGCAAGCGACGCTCAAGCCGGGAGACATAATCTATTACTGGACCTATGTTATCTACAACGGCCTGGGTTATCGCTACGACGACGGCGCCTTTACTGTGACCGGTTATAGTGACAACACTCAAAATACTCCCATTGCAACGAGCACCATACGAGTTCCGATTGAACAGGATATTGACATCAGGATCAACGAAAATTGTGTGAAGCCCAAGACACAGGTGAACGGAAATCCGACTCGTTGTATGAACCAATTGATCTTTGTGGATGACTTCAATGGCGGCAAACTAGATGCCTCCAAGTGGACGGTGGAGCATCGTTTCTCCGGCGTGCCCGACTACGAGTTCAACATCTATCTGAATGATGCAGCCCAAACATTGAGTCTCTCCGATGGATATGTTGATCTTCAGGCGCATTCGACGAAAGCGCTGCTCAAACAGAGTCTGGACTCCAAGTTGGATTTGGGCAGCGGATGCACTGGCATAAAAGATACAGCGGATTGTGTACGCGATGCCAGAAATCGACCGGACAGATTGCCACCTATTGTCTCTGCTCAGTTCTCTAGCAAACTGAGCTTCAAATATGGACGCGTTGAGGTGCGTGCCAAGATGCCCCGTGCCAGGTATCTGCTGCCGCAGCTGTGGCTGCAGCCCAAGGCGAATGTCTACGGCAAAGATGACTATCAGTCGGGTCAGCTGAGGATTGCGTATGCTCGGCAATCGAGTGACGGAGCACACTTGGATTTGTATACGGGAGCAGTGCTTAATGCCAAGGAACCTTTGCGTTCGGCGAAACTGTGTCACAAGTTGGGCTCCGCCGACATCAGCGACGACTGGAGCGATAGCTTCCACAATTATACGTTAGTGTGGACGCCACGAGAGCTCAAGTGGTATGTGGATGGCAGGGATGTGTGCACCCAGGGCAGCGAGAAGGGCGCATTCAGTGAGACGTCGGTGACCAATAAGCCGCTTCCGAATGCGGATGAACTGGAGAAGGGCACGGGCCTTGCTCCGTTTGATCAGGAGTTCTATTTGACCTTTGGTCTGGGCGTTGGCGGGTTTAATGAGTTCTTCTTCGATGTGAAGAAGCCGTGGCATGAAGAGCACCCACAAGCAATGCGTGATTTCTGGACTTCGATCAAATCACAGAAGGATCAGTGGCTGGAACAGGCACAGCTCAAAATCGATTATGTCAAAGTTTATACTGTATAAATATCATTTCTAAACTCAATTTATAACATTTCTTGTGTATTTAAATAATAAATATGAAAACAATTTCAATTACTATGGTTTTTTCATAATTAACTAAATATTTGATAAGAAAAGTTAAACCATTCTTTAAATTTCGCCGTTTTAAATTTCGATAGTTCATTCGAAAGCACGGTCACGCTGTCGTTATCGATAGTAGTGTGAGCAACAGCTGTGCTTTGATTTTTGGGTAAACTGTCATCACTAGTGCTCACATAACCCTCTGCGGCATTTACCAGTTAAAAGAACACAAGTAAATTAAATAACACACACAAGTTTGGACGATTTTCTAACATAAAGCACATTTCACACTTGCAGCCAAATACAGAATGCAAGTCACACGTCTTGTGTTGCGTCAACTTCGTCGCCAAATCAACATACAGCGTCAATACAGCGCTGCTGCCCCCGCCGCTGCTCCCTCTGCCGGGTCAGCCGAGAAACTCGTACCACCCGCTCCAGAGGGCGCTGCAAAGCCACCAAATGCCAAGCTCGATAATATTGTGAATAATATTGCGATGCTCAATTTGCTCGAGGTGGCCGAGCTGAGTACACTGCTCAAACAGAAGCTAAATCTGCCCGAGGCAGCATTTGCAGCGCAGATCGCTGTTGCGCCACGAGGAGCTGCTGAGGATGAGGAGGAGGCGGCTCCCAAAAAGGTGCAAACTTCGTTCAAGGTGAAAATGGTTAAATTCGATGAGAAACAAAAGGTGGCGCTCATCAAGGAGGTGAAGAATCTGCTCGAAGGCATGAATCTGGTGCAGGCCAAGAAATTTGTGGAAAGTGCTCCGACAATTGTCAAGGAGGATATCCCCAAAGAGGAGGCCGAGAAACTGAAGGAAGCGTTGACAAAGGCGGGCGCTATTATTGAAATTGAATAAGCTACATCATTTTTGATATATATAAATAATTGTAATTCAAAATCTAGCAGAGCGATTTGCTGTAAATTTAATTAAAAGAATCAAGCACTGCAATTTGCTGTAAAGTTAACGGTAAATGATAAACAAATCGCACATGACTCAATTAAGAACTGTTTATTTCAGGGCAGCTTTGTTGCAACTTTCTACAATTTCCGGCCACTTTTACCTTTTGCCTGAATGGGTCTAACTATTAATTAGTAAAAGCAGCTGGCCTTAATTAGTGCGACATTGTTAATTCAAGTCGTGTGTAGTTCCCCACGTTCCCCAGGCAGCTGCTGTGGTGAAGATGCAAATAGAATAATGCATGCTGCACCGCTAAAGCACCGTTACATCATATTGTAATAAAGCACGAGTTTCAAATTGTGATTGTTGCTCTTGTTGTTATTGTCGGCTATAAATAAATGCAAATTGAGCGTTAGATCAATGTTTAAACAATGTTTAATATACGAAAAGAAAAGTAAACAGCGCGCACTTTCTACGATCGGTGGGGCGAATCAAGCGATGATTATCCACGCGTGTTCCTAAATTATGTATTTGTATCACTTTCATCGTCCCATTGATTTTCATTTTGTTTACTGTCATTTTAAGAATGCTCTTAAAAGATCAGCCCAACGATCGAGCCTAACTAACTGGCTATGCGTGAGTGCTCCAAATATTTGCAGCCATCGAAATAAACTACACACGATTTACGCGCTGCATTTGCCAGCCTCCCCTTCCTCTCCTTTTGGGTGAAATGCTCTCGGAGCATGGCAATGGTATAGGAATGGAGAGGGGGAGATGGGGGGTGTGGGTAGGGGGGGTTCGCATCGGTGTCTTTCAATTAGCACCTGCGTCTCAGTACGACACAGTAAACCCGAGAGCTACGCTCATACACTGCTCAGTCTGAATCGAATCATAGACGCGTCCAAGACGTTTTTCGTCTTCTCCCGTAGAATTAGTGCGAGAAAACCGAAAGTGAAGTGGAAACTGTTTCAATCAAGCCATGTCGAAGCGTACACATTCCACGCATATTTTGGGCATTGTGGTCATCTTCTTCAGCAGCTACATTCTGGGCATTTATAGTGCGGCACGTGCGACCAGCCAACTTGGGTTTTCAACAATGCACAATGAGAGTTGGACACTCAACGACACACTACTGGATAGTCTTGAACATGAGCTGGTGGCGGGAGCGGGAAGCGGTGTTGCCCGCAACAATTCCAGAAATCCTCGCTGTAAGTAAACGTTTGTTGACCGCTCTTGCTTTGGGCCATTTGCGTCTTGAGTGGCAACCGTTTGTTTTTGTTGCCGCACCGCTTCATGATGGATTTATGTATGTGGGTCACATTTCAATTATCACCCAGTTCCGTGCTGGACTCTTTAGTCTCAGGCGTGCTCTGTGTCATCGCTTGACAACATCGGCTATCTCGGCTACCATCGAGCTTATCTCCATTTACTTGCTATCACTTGTAATGACCCCCATATTTCTCTTGAAATTTCACCTATATTCAAATATACTAAATTATCAAATTTAAAGTCGCAAAGAGCAAGTTGATAACGTTTAAAAATGTGATTTTTCAAGTCTTGAAATTATTTTCTTGAGCCAAGCCTCAAGCGATTTATAGCTGAAACTTAGTCTTTAAAATTTATGATAAATTGAACTTCAGGATCTGTTCTTACTGGATTACTATAACAGGTTTAATTGATCCAAATTCAACTATTTAAAAGTGTTTCTTTAAATATTTTTAAAAAGTATTTACAAAGAGACTTATAAACAGTTCTACCATTTCCAGAAATTAGTTTTACATGAAATTGAAAGCCTTGTTCGAATTAAGTTTGATATTCAAAAAATATTTAAGCAGAGAGATTTTCATAGCTCATTAACAATTTCTAAAATTAAGTTAACATATGTATGTAATTAGAAAATTTCAAGCACTGACACGCAATCTCTTTCAGGGTTTCCCTTTTACACCATCGGTCGCTTCTCCAATGACATTTGCCGTGGCAACAACCTGTTGATGGGCACGTGCGCCATCCGTGGGGAGTGTACCGATAATAATGGTGTTGCCGCTGGCAGTTGCTCCACGATTACGAGCCAGGCCGTCTGTTGCATCTGTAAGTTGAACTGAATACAAATTACAAATTGTAAATGTTAATCAGATCATGTTTTTCAGACCAGCGAACTTGTGGTGCAAGCACCAACTTCAATAATACATATTTCTACAACAGTAACTATCCGGCACCTTATTCCGGCGGAGGACGTTGCACGATTGTTGTTACACCGCCGGATTCAAGTATTTGCCAGCTGCGAATCGATTTTCTGGCCCTGTCACTGGCTCCACCGAGTGGCGATGGTTTTTGCAGCACCGATGCTTTAACCATAACCGGTGGCGCCTCCCAGGTGCCTACCATTTGTGGCGAGAACTCTGGCCAACATGTCTATGTTGACTTTAATGGCGAAAGTCCCATCTCCATCACAGTAGTCACCTCGGGCGGCTACACATTCAATCGTCAATGGCAATTCCAGATACGCATGATGGGCTGTACATCGGCGACCTTGGCGCCCGCCGGCTGTCTGCAGTATCACATGACCCCGAGTGGGAATATTGCGAGCTTTAACTATGTCTCTGCCGCTTCCTCTGCCCTCAACTCCATTGGAGTGCAGGGGACGCGACAGTTGGCCAACATGCGCTATGGAATCTGCATACGCAAGGCGACGGGCATGTGCTCCATCACCTATGGCCAGGTTGGTTCCGATGCCTACTCATTTACGATGACAAATGATGTGGGCGCCGTGGATCCGGCGCTGCTTGCCACATCAGCGGTGCAGAGTCAGGATTGCACAACGGATTACCTTATTATACCAGCTCCGGTGCAGGCTGGCGTCAACATGCCCAGCGATCGGTTCTGTGGATTGGGTCTGGTCTCGACAACAACTACGGCGAAACCATTTGTCGTTTTCGCAGTGACGGATGCGAATGAAGAATTGGATATATCGAATCGTGGCTTTTACTTATCCTACTCGCAAGCTGCTTGTCCAGTGTTATAGATTGGATTACAGATAATGATAACTACAATAAAAGACTTACAACTAATTGATATAGAAATAAATTACTTTATAATACGTATTATATTTAGTTTAGTTCTTTTAGCATTTACTGTACATAATTTATCTAACAGATTCGGATGATTAGAACTACGCTGCCATCCGTATAAGACTATCAATCTCAGCCTGTAGCTCCTTGATCTGCAAATGACCAACAGTTAGCAAAACTCTGATCGATCGATCTATAGATAATAAGTAATTAGAGATCTTACCCGATGGTTGAAATGCAATTTGGTTGCTTTATCGGCCATCAGCTGGAAGGCTTCGTTGTCAACACGAAGTCGATACTTTTGCAGCTCGTTGTTCAACTTTTTCAGCTTCTTCTGGTTCTCGTTCATCATTTGAGCCCGCTTCTCTGCCAGCGCCGTGTATTCCTCGTTCATGGTGATGCCAAAGGAGCACAACGCTCCCGCCGTGGAAAAGAAGTTTAATTTCTTGGAGAATTTGGAATCCTCATTGAGCAGTTCCAGTTCCACATTCGTGCAGCGAGTGAGCACCGCAATTTGCTTCAGATGACGTTGCAGTATCATTTCCGCCTCCTCATTCTGAGCGAACAGACACAAATTAGGTGCGTGACGTTTGCTGATCTGATTGCGACTCTTCACTTGCCGAATGATTGTGCAGATGCCGACAATATCGGCAACCTCGGCCTGCAGCTTGGGATCCTGATACTCCGACAGATTCAGTTGTATGTCAAGCGGCACATGCTGCAGAAGCTCGGAGGCGACGAACGGAGTAAACGGCATCATTGCCTGCAGTCCCCAGCTGAGGCACGTTGTCAGAGTGGCCACGTTGATGTAGGCGTCATTGCTGCGACTGCTTATAGCCGCTTTGGTCGTTTCCTACAAAAGATATGGTGAATATTTAATATATATCTATTATAATTTATATGCCATCGTAAGAACTTACAAGATAAACATCGCATAGATTTTGATAGAAGAAAAGTTTTAGGGCCGATGTGGCCATATGGAAATTGTAGTTAGTGGAACACTCGGAGCATATGGCAAGCGTCTCGGCCAGTCGTCCAATGATCCAGCGATCCCATATGCTTAGCGTGACGCCCTCCATGGTCTCGAACTCATTCAGACTGATTCCGAGACTTTGGGCAGCGCCCAGTGTGAATCGCATTGCCTGCCAGATCTTGTTAAGGAACAGCTTGTTTGTGTGGCAAGCGGCCACATCAAAGTTGATGAAATGATTCTTGATATTGTGGCTGAGCAACGTGAAGCGCAACGCATCCGTGCCGCATTCCTGGATGCCATTGGGAAACATTTTAGTTAGCCCTTCCGTTGAGGTTTTCAGTTCGTTGGGGTTCAAGATGCCAGCATCACACGATTGCTGCAGAACTGCTTTCAGGCTGTCCAAGCTGGCGCCCTGCACTACCTGCTGTGGTGAGACAATGTTGCCGAGACTCTTGGACATCTTGCGTCCCTGGGCATCGCATACAATCCCATTGAGCAGGATGCGCTGAAAGGGCGCCTCACCGGTCAGCTTAAGGCCCATCATCATCATGCGTGCCACCCAGAAGAAGATGATGTCGTGGCCCGTCTGCATTAAATCAAGCGGATACACCTGTTTGTACGTTTCATTGGGCCAGCCAGCGACAGAGAAGGGCAGCAGCGATGAGGAGAACCAAGTGTCCAGCACATCGACATCGCGACAGAGTCGCGGTTCTTTGGTGTCCAAGATGCGCGATGCCTTCTCGCGCGCACTCTCCTCATTGAGGGCAGCAACCCAGCAGCTTTTGCCATTGGCGTCAAAGGCCTCGTAGGCGGGCACCCGATGACCCCACCAAAGCTGCCGCGAGATGCACCAGTCCCGCGAATCTTCCAGCCAACGCTCCCATTCCAACTCAAAGTTGGCGGGCAGAATTTGCAATCGTCCGCTTTTCAGCTCGGAGAGCGCAGCCTCCGCCATCGATTTTGTTTGGAGGAACCACTGTGGCAGCAACATGTACTCGATGATGTCCTTGGAGCGCGAACAAACCGGCAGCTGCATTTTGTGTCCGCGCACCTCGCGCAACAGCTGCAGCTGCTCCAGTCGCTCCACGATGCGATCGCGTGCCTCGAAACGAGGCTGGCCCTGAAACTCTGGATACGCATCGAGGATGTGTCCACTCTTGCTGAACACCTGTCGTCCGTCCAGCTTGTGCCGATTGGCCAGCTCAAAGTCGAACCTGTCGTGCGCTGGCGTCAACTTAACGGCACCCGTTCCAAATTCCTTGTCCACAGCAATGTCAAAGATCAATGGAATTGTGTCCTCGCGAAAGGGATGCTTCAAACGGACTTCTTCCCTATTGCGATATTTGCTGTAGCGTGGATCGCTCGGATGCACAGCAACTGCAACATCACCGAGAATAGTCTCTGGTCGTGTGGTGGACACGACAATCTCCTCGGGCGTGCCATCCGCTTGGGTTTCGCCATCCACAATGCGATAGGCAAAGTCAAAGATGCGTCCAAAGAGCACCGTTTGCTCGTAGCCTGGCACAGTCACCTCAGTGGGTTCCTTGATCTCCACCGTGTCCACCTCAATGTCCGAAATGGCCGAGTTGAGGGCACAGGACCAGTTGACCAACGAGTTGCGTCGCTTAATCAATCCCTCGTCGAACAGGCGCTCAAAGGCCACATTCACAGCATCAGCCTGCTGTTTGTCCATCGTAAAATACTCACGCTCCCAGTTGAGCGTGCAGCCCAACTGCTTTAGATCCTGTACAATGCCGGCTCCCTTTTCAGCCTTCCATTTCCAGACTTCATCCAAGAACGCCTCACGTCCGATCTCCTGACGCGTCTGACCCTTTGTGGCAGCCAGAGTACGCTCCACGACAGCCTGGGTGGCTATGCCGGCATGATCGGTACCCGGCACCCACTCGACATTGTAGCCCAGCTGTCGATGCTGCCTCGCAATCACATCTTGAACGGTGGCCATCAGAGCGTGCCCCAAATGCAGATTTCCCGTCACATTTGGTGGTGGCAACAGCATACGGTATGTGCCACGCTTGCAGGTGCTGCTCGACTGTGTCGCGGTCTGTTGTTCTTCACGTGTCCAATACGCCTGCTCCACTTGCTTTGGCTGGTAGCCGGTTGCCAAAGATAATTTCGCATCTGAGAGTCAACTTTTTAGCCGGCAAAAAACACATTTTTTGTAAATGAAAAGCGTATTAAAACTCACCTTTATCTGTGCTGTAGTAAAGTGCGCTGGTTATATTTCGCAATTTTGGCTGGCATAACTGTTTGTGTTTGACTAGATTGCGAGTAACTTTTATAATTTGCATTATTTCAATTCTGTGGGGCTTCAGCCGTTGTTGTTATGTCAACTGGTATTTTGTTGGCAGTGTGTACACAACTTTTCAAATTTCAAAAAATCAACACAAACTCGAACAGCTGATTGCTAATGCTGACTGCGATAACTATCACATTTTGCTATCGATAACTGTGAAATGAGCGCGCGCACAATTCAAACTCATTGTTTCATTGCTTTAAATTTTATTGGTATTTAATGCACTTCTCGCCATTAGCTATTGTATATTTTTGTGCATAAAAGCGTGCAAAGAGAAAGAGAAATGAGAGCATATAAGCAACTCCCGTATAACTCAGCCAGGGCTGGTATTCGCAGCGGTTAACAATCGCCTGTGCTCCCCAAGCCAAACCCAGTGCAAACTGCAGCATCTGCAGCACAGTTAAGTAACGCTTCCACCAAAGGTACGGCTGCACCCGAGGGCCCAGAGCACTCAGCGAGTAATATCCATACATAATGATGTGCACAAGCGAATTAATTATAGCCGGCACAAACGCTGCAAGCGGAAGCAAATTAGCCAAATACTTTTAGTAAACACAACAACAAAACTTACTGGATCCCGTGGGTATCCATTTAACAACAATCCAGCAAATGACAAACATCGTGCTATGATGATAAACATGCAAAAAAGTTAATTGCGACCACTTCTTCCGCAATATAAAAAATAGTGTATCGGCAAACTCCAGAATTTTTGTGATGTAGAACCACCAAAATGCGCTGGCAATCTAAAATGAACAGCATCGCTTGATGTTTGACGTACTTAAGGGGGGTGGAGTAAACAAACTTACACGAATTTCATTTGGATCGTAGCTCAGCTTACACGGCTGACATTGTGTGCTGTAGTTCAAAGCCCGCGATGCCGTATAGAGTTCCCGGCAAATGTGGGCATTCAGCATGGCCATCAGCAAATTGTAGCAGAACAATGGCAAACGAAGCTGAAACGCTTGGCGACTGCAAACAGAGAGACAATATGATGAAGGCGTTTGATATCCCATCCCACAGCTATTTGGATTTCACACACCCACCTGGCCATCCATTTGGGCGCTAAATGCACCAGCAGTAAGTACAAGGCCAGCACACTGGCCGCATTCCATGGTGATGAAACCATGGGCCAAGATTGTGTCCGTTCATCTGCCAGCTCGGCAAATGGATAACTGTCCAGATAGTCAGCCAGAGAAGACCAGGTCATGTCTTCGTCGTATATTATAAGAATGCCAATTGGAATTAAGTCTGCACTGGCTTTTTATTATATTTGCCAAAACTATTGATGCGTTTAAATGCCGACAGTTCGTTGTTAGATCTGTGATTTCTTTAATTAAAAACCTTGCAATCCAAATGGAAGCAAGCTTTTTGTTTGACCCCTCGAGCGAGTCAAGCGTAAACAGCTTATGGGTCACTTGGCAAATGCTTCTCCAAGATTCCACATAAGCAAACATATTTTAGTTAGATATTTGTTTATTATTTGTATGTGTTTTTGAAAATTTACAATACACTTGAGTTTTGCATTGCATTGACCTCAAGTTGAAGGTTGAGTTGACCTTTCCATTCAGCGAGTGCATTCGTTTAATACATATTAAATATATTTTCATGCATTTTCTTTGGCGCCCCCAGCCACATTAAAAAGTGCAATGGGCGGAACAGATGAATAACAGGTGAAAAAGTACATACGTGAGTGGAAAATATAAAGCTAAAATGTTAAATAAACATTTGTCTAAGCAGCACAGCACAGCAGTACTGAATGAGACTTGCATTGCCAAAATGCGCTACTCAAACCGAGCATTTCAATTTCCCAAATGCTTTCGAAAACGCTTGACAACACTTATTGTGTTCCTTCGAATTGTCTCGTGCTGTCAGACAATGGGCTGATTTTTGGCACGGGTTGAGCATTCGATGTGTGTTTACCTAACCAGCAGACAATGGCGCCATAGAAACAACAACAGTGGCAACAAACATTGCTGCCAGAATCCTGTATGCCCAGCAGTCAGCCAGCTGTTGTACTTTTTGCAGGTCCTTTGGCCTTTTATTCCACTTGTGACTTTGGCTCCATTTTCTATTATTGTTTTCTTTATTTGTATTACTGTACGTGTCTGCACCTTAGGGTACTTTGTGCTGCCTTTCCTTTCGCCTTTCTTATGCTGCAACGGGAATAAACTGTCTATACTTGGTCGTCCTCTTGAGCAGCTGCGTCCAAAAGCTGTTACTCAAAGGGTTAGCACAAGACAAAAACATTATACATACTCGTACTTATATTTTATTTCTAGCACCAATAAAACGCGATTCAGCAGACAGAAAGAAAGAGCAGCAGCATCTTTACTCCTTTTGCTGATTTGTATCGTGAAAGAAAAATGTGCCCGGCAGCAAAAGTCAATTTTCATTAAAATAACGACACTGTTCTCGGTTGCCACAAAATGACAAATTCTGCATATTTATGTGTACGCATACTGTTCCCGCTCACTGTGTTGCGGTTAACCGTTCGGCTCTGCTTATCATCGGTAAGAGGAAGCTGTTCTCATGTCCTGCGGCGGCTTCCCTGCCCCCAGCAATGTTTGTGCTTAGGTATGCGTGTAATTAAGTTTGCCTGAATTCAGGGCTGCAATGAAAAGGTAAGACAATAGTTCCTAACGTATACCTAACAGATACTTAGCTAACCAGATTAATCTATAGATAGTTTTAAGCCTGTGTTTTACGATTTAAAGTCTGTATTTAAATTTCACATATCCTGGCTTTGCATCCCTGCGCAAATTCACTCATACCTTTGGGGCATTTTGAACACACTTTTGCGGCAACATTTTTTTTGATAGATTTACCCGTCGTTCTCGTTGATGTCATTTTGCTCTCATCATTTTCCTCACACCTCCATTTTCTGCAACGTTAGCTCTGCCATTGCTACTGACCGTTGTTGTGGTTAAGAGGGGATCATCCAAAGAGAGGGGCATGGAAATCCCTCGGCCAGGACACGGGCCAGTCAGTTTGAGTTTATCGCGCCGACATTTTCGCCCCACGTGTCCTCCACGTGAGTTATTAAATAGATTACTGTTTTGTGTTCAGGGGGCTTTGCATATGCAGAATGTGTCACCGAACATGTCCTCCAATTCACAATCACAAGTAGAGAGAGCTAGTCATTCACACACACACACACACACACACACACATATACATATACACAGTCAGAGAGAATGACCAATATGGCAACATGCATGAGCGATTTATGAAATTGAGTTTCAGTTTTGTCCACTGTGCTATTTATATATGTATCCAGACTATGAAACGATTCATCATATTATTAAGAAAAAATTAAATAAACAGAGTGTATTTAAATTAGCAAATAGAGCTAACGAAATTTCCATCTTTCCATGGAAAGTTTAGAGATATGTAAAATATTTAAATTATTTCGCTAGAAAAATTGCATCGAGTCTTTATCAATTCTTTAAATTTAAGCTTAAAAATTTAAGAAAATAACAGCTTGAAAATTGTAAAGACATTGATTGATAATTTTATATCATTTAGGATTATTATTGCATTGAATAATTTAGTTTTCCATAGATCCCATAACAGAAAATCACTCCATCATTTGTCACTAACTAAAGGACATAGTTCAGCTGGATTGGGGTCAGCAATTGCTGTCACTGAAATTGTCAAAAAGCAAGTTGTTCCCTACCTTTTTATCATTACTTCTCTTTTTGTTTTTTTTTTTTTGGAATTACTCCTTCATGTTGTTTGTTGTGCTTCTTGTTTGTTTGCTGCGCTTTGTGTGCGAATCTTGTATTGAAAGCGGATAGAAGCCAGGTCAGTGGCTTCGCTGGCGATGTTGGTTATTGGTCATCCATTTTCAACATTGCACTTTGCCATCATTTCCAGCAGTTTCCTGCTCGTGTCCTGCACGTATCCTTCTCAAGCTCAATGGAAAATGTCGCTGTATTAAGAAAGCATTTTGAAAACTGTCTTAAAGGATTTATTATTACTTACTATTGGTAGCTCCATCAATGTTATATTTGTTGCTGCTGTTGCTGCTGAATGCACACATAAGTTGCATAAGCTGCTTTCCAGAGCTGTTTCGCAAAAGTCTTTGTTATTATTATTGTTTTTGGTTTTGTGTATCCAATCTACTTGTCTGAGTCATTTTTTTCGTAATTTCGTTTTCGTTTTTTAGTTTCTGGCTTGGTGCAACTGTGCGTGGTAAATTGTGCAACATATTTTATTTGTGGGTTTCCAGTTTTGTTGAGTTGAGACAACTCGAATAGATCGTCTTATTTATCTTTCCATATATGTTCGTTGCCACCCAACCCATCTGGTATTCCATTTACGCAGCCTTTGGATGCCTTTTGCGTTGTCACAACACTTTGATACGCGTTATTTACAACACATTTGTCTTGGCTTCGGTTCAGTTATCTGTTCAATGGATGCATTCAGGCATCAGGGTAAAGGCAACAGACGAAAGACGACAAATAACCAGCACCAGGTGCTCTGTATTTCGTATCCTTATTGCATTTTTCTCCTATTGCTACGAGTTGGTGACTCATTTGAGGAATTTCTTCTTTTATTTGCTTCCGAAAAGAAATGCATTCAAGTCTATTAGTGGCTCTCAGCTGATAAGCTTTTTAAATTTAAAATAAATGCTGTGAATGGTGTATTCTTATAGATATTTTTACTAATGGAGCAGATTTAAAACATATATTTATAGCTTGCAAGATCTCTTTTGCGATATCTACCATAAATAAGCAGAAAACTATTAATTAGTTTCATTTCTGTTCATTCACTTTGCCAAAATAAAGCCGAATGTTTATTGAACTAATTTGAATTTATGTATCACATTAATTTTCTCAACCATTTAACTATTTTGGGGATTAGTTTAATCAATTGCCAATTTGTCAGCCCAAAGTGTAATCTTGGGTTAATCTTTGGGAAGCCGCAAAATTGAAGCTACAAGCTGGGCAACAGGACCCTCTTCACTGTACATCAAGCTCTTGGCAAGGATTTTAAATTTGCGTAATGAATTAAATTAAGTTAAGAAAATGTAGAAAACCTTCCTACAGCAAAAACAACAGCAACAGAATATTAATTGCATTTTAATGACTTCATTTGGTCGAATATTTTGCAAAACACAAAAGCCATTAAACTGATTAGTCAATCTGCCATTGACACCTTAGGGCGCTCAGCACACAAGCAAGCCAAGTTGCAGGCGGAGAGATTCTCAGAAAACAATATCAAATACAAGAAAGACCCACTTACTTCTTGTGTGCACAGTGTGTGTGATTTTCTGTTCAATGTGAGCTGTATCGAATATCTGGCACATTGGCAGATGTGGGACTTGCTTTGAAGCGAGCAAAAAGTAAATCGAACAATTGGCAGTTACACAAAATAAGTTGAACGTTGCCTGTGGGGCGAAATAGCCGACACAGCATATAAAACTAATACTCCTAGTTGGCAGCTGACCGCTAGCAAGCCACTAGCAAACCACATAGCAGAAGTAAGAGCACTCCCAACCAACAGGACCAATGTACAATAAAACAAGTGGCATACAACTTCTTCTTCTTCTGTGGCACTCTCGGCGACGTTGCTTTTGCCATAAAAATGCCCGTAAAATGGTGAAACGAAAATCAGTGTTTAATTAAGTTATAAAAATATTTGGCTCATTTGCGCTGTCGGCCAACACAAGGATTCACTTGTCTCTTGTCTTGACCCAAATTGGCCGAAATCCACTTTAATTGCTTGTATTTCTCGCATATTATTGGTAATGAGCGAATCTTGAATGTGGCCATAATTATGATTGACGGTAAAGCTTAATGAAAGGAAAATAAATTTTAATATAGTTTATCGACACATTCCAAATAAATTTCAATTCCTTAAGTTGTCAAATCTGCAAAATCTGCGAAATAATAAAGTAAATAAAATAAACTCTAAGTAAACAACACACTTTTAGTCTCTTTATACTATTTGTTATATATCTGCAAAGTGATTGCTCTGGGAAAATTTGAGATAAGTTATGGCAAGTCAAAGTTTGAACTCGTGTCTAAATGAATGCACTTCCCAACCTATGAGTCATAAACATATGCGGTTATCGATTTACAAGAATGCAAGTTTGAAAAATGATGTTGCCTTTTCGTGTTTTGTTGCCATTTATTTTATTTATTTGGTTCTTTGTTTTGTGTATTATGAAATTGTGCACGAGCGCGTGCCAGATATTTTACA